CTTTAATTATTATTGTGTTATATTATATATTGTATATATAAATATATATATATATATATATATATATATATATATATGACAACTGTTGATTATTAATCTTTTGGTTTTATAATCACTTGTAATTGAATACAATACCTAACTGTTTGTATTTGTTCTCGTTTCAGAGAATGGCGCTGATCCGCAAGACAACCAAAAAGTAGCAAGACTGTATGCTAATATGTTGTACCCACTCTGTGTATTGTCTTTTCTTTTTTTGTTTGTTTTTCTTCCTTTTCAACTGGGATTTTTTTTGGACTAATAAAGATGAAAAGATGGTTTGGGTGGGGGTATTTTTTTTTTTTTGACATTAGATAGTGTTTCATCGTCATGACTCCCTAACTTTTGAGTGTTTTGCCAGCACCGTCACACAATAATGTAATTCTTGTCTCTAATTCTGTTTTGTTGCCATTAAGCTAAGCCTGGCAGGACTTCATTGCATTTTGTCAATAAACATTTGCTGGAATACTTCTTTTGGATTGTGACCACTGCTGTATCGGCTTTACCTTTTGATACTCTAGAGCATTTGGATGTGAATGTTACAGATTCATGCCTCCTTAAATTTGTTGTTATCTTGCCAATAATAGATAATCATAGCTGTTATGTCAGAAATTATGGCTCCCCTGTTTACACATTCTACTCATACAATGCTGTTGATTCGTTTTTTGTTTTGTTTTTTAAATAGAGGGTCTATAATAATTCCTACTGCAAAGGGTGGCCACAAATACAGTAAATTGTTTGTCTCTGTTGTTAGACATGTATGTGCTGTTGTGTATTGTTCCTGAATGTAGCAGGTTTTATTACATTAACAATTTCAACCAACCTTGTTAATTATTGTTATTTTTACTTTTGTCTATTTCAGCAAATTACATCTAAATAATGTTAGAATAATTAGTCCTCAGATGTTGACTTTTCACAATGTCTGATTATAAAAAAGAAATTGATGATATTAAACAAAGACATTATGGAGTATGGCTTCTATTGCCAGACTGAACTGACAAAAGTTAGTCAGGGTTTTACCTTGCAACTAACGTAAAACAAAATTCACATAACTGTTCATTAACATTCATTCAGTCATTCATTGTGCTTGAAAGTGGCTCTCTTCACATTTATGACTAATTCCCGGTAGTTGTAAAAATAGCACTGTAATATTGACGACTACGCTAAAGTTTTTAAGGGTTAAGTGGAGCCAAAACATTTAAAACCATGAAATGTAATCAGTTTACTTGTGTATTTGCAGAGACACAAACTAGTGTACAGACAAGTGTTAACGTGTCAGTGAATCTTTAATGTGGGTGCAGCAAAATGAATTGTCTGCATTTTGTATGCAGAAACACAGGAGGCTGTTCATCAGCCAGATGAATAATAATTGCTATAGAAACCTGTCACAACATTTTAAAAGAACAATATCCAAAGGCACCCTAGAGTTTTTATTTAATTCATTTTACAACAGTACCTGAAAACAATCACTCACTCGCAGAATACTATGCAATTATTGGTGATGCAACAAAGCTTTTTCCAGACTACATGGGCCCAAAAGATGTGATGTTTCTAATCTCAGCCAGGGGAACCAATACCTTAACTGTTGCCAGTCATGGAGAGAATGAATGAAAGGAAGAATGTAATTATTTTTGCATCTATTTGGTCACAAACCAAAGTGTTGGGCAAATGGGAATTTTGACCTGATGATGGTGCTAGAGGAAAAGTTAAGAGACCTTGAACGTCTGCAGCAAATTTCACAGCAATCTGATAGTTGTATTTCAACCAAAACCAAATGTCAACCTGGCGGTAAAGCTGCTGAAAAGTCAGTCGGAAACAACCCACTTGAGACATGGATATCTGTGTCATCCTCCAATAAGACCAAAGTGGTGGATCAACAGACCAACGAACATTTCCACGCCACCATCATGGCCAAAGATAACCATTACACAAAATCATTATTTCTAAAGTTAAATCTTCCCCCATTTCAGGAATGTCAAAGTAAAGTCATACAATGTTTCCTCAAATTAGTTTCTGACTAACTGTTAAACTACCTTCACAAAAAAAGGTGCAAATCAGTGTCTTTCATGATGACCACGATATTACAGTAAAATACCACCACAAATCCGGCCTCCTGGGGGCTGGTTTTGGTTCCACAGTAACATGAGTGCATACGGGTGACCACCACCAGTCCACAGTTCAACCACAGCACTTCTTATTGTTCTTAGAGGCTGTGCTGGGCTGTGCCAGGCTGGCTCTCTGTAACTGCAGCGCCTGTGGTGCAGCGCACTTGACTCCATCCCAGCCCTCTTGCAGCTCTACCTCTCCACTCAGCAGACCCTGGTAGACCCGTCGAGTGAGCAGCTCAAAGGCGTCCCTCACATTCTGGCCTGTCTTGGCAGAGACCTCCACATAGGGCATCCCTAGCTGTCCGGCCAGTTTCTCAGCCTCTTCCCGACTCACGACCCTCTCCCCCTGAGCATCTCGGTCATTCTTTTGGCCCACCAGGACAAACAGAACCTTATGCGGCTGCACTCGCTCGCACACTTCACCATGCCACTCCTTAATATGATCAAAGGAGGCTCGGTTGGTTATGTCAAACACCAGGAGGCCTCCGACAGAGTTGCGGTAATAAGAACGGGTGACCGACCTGAGGAAAGAAGAGACACACATGAGAAAAATGTAAAAAGAGGGAGGAGGTTTGTATTTCAACACATGAAAACCTTCCAACGCATTCACTAGTGCAGAGTTCAGACTTTGCTACCAACTTATTTCCTGTTCCAGTGAGCAAATAATCAGCTGATTATCTGCACTGTTTGAGTTGAGCTTTTTTAGATAAGCAGATTGACAAAGAGTCTGTTTCTTTGTAACAAATTGATAACCACTATGTTTTTTTCACCCTAATCATGAAACCGTCAAGAGGCACATAGTTCCCCCATGAGTCACTGAATGTTTAAACCAAAGGAAAGGCTTAATAAAGGGTCCTCCCTGCAGCCAGTCTGTAAAAATGTACTCCTTGAGTAGAATACTTCTGTATGAAAACAAACCTGATTTGGCTGAGCTTTTAGCTGACTCAAGTGGGATTAGCAGGCTACAGATACCATGCAGAGAGGAGGTAAACACAAACAGGCACTGTTTGCAATTTGCTACGGTTCATTCAACTGGAGAACTGAAATAATGAATTTAGAGACAGAATGAAACATGTTACTCCTAGTTTTTTATGAAATATGCTGAGCAGGAAGAATAATGACTTTTCAAAAATCGGCCTTTTCCACTTCAAGCATTACACATACTGCATCTCTGTACACATTGCACACTTGTGAGGGTGACAGTGTGGTTACACAGTCATAGCTGAAAGCAAACACTGATCAAGAGCTCCGTTGTGAATAGAATAACCAGTGGTAGTTTTATTTGGGTAGTATATTTGCATACAAGTGAGTAATTTCTTTAAATATTCGTCATAGGAATGGGAGAATAAGAATCCTTTGTTTTACTGTCTTATACAAAGACACATAGTGCCACTAAGCCTGGTGCATATAAAGAAAGTATTTTTGATATATGAAGACATCCAATAGTGCAAAGACAGACACCTCACCCCATTTGTCACAAGATGAGTTTATCCTCACCTGAACCTCTCCTGTCCAGCTGTGTCCCAGAACTGCAACTTGACACGGACCCCCGGCTCCACCTCCAGGAAGTGAACATAGAAGTCGACGCCCACCGTCTGGTTGATGGACTCCATGAACAAGTCTTCAGTGTAGCGTTTCAGCAAGGAAGACTTGCCCACTGTGGAATCCCCCAGCATGATGATCCTAAACTGGTACTGCCACAAAGTCAGATCCATTGTTGCTAGTAAACAAAAAAAGAAAAAAAGAAAATAGGATAAAAACAGTGAGCACAGCTTGTGAGGATACAAAGGTATATAGGGAAAGTTGTGGGAAAGTGAGAAAGAAATAAGACATGCACTGCAGGAATTATAAAAGGGCTGTATATAAGGTAAAGAATGGTTAAGGAGGAATATACTGAACAGCCTAGATGATACCATGGGGGATGGAGTCCCCACACCAGCTTCCCACCAATTGGTTCCCTATCTTTGATCCTCCAAATATTGAGAAACAACCACAGCAGCCACTCCTTACAAATGTCACAACTGGTAGAGCAGTCCGTATTCAGAGTCATCCCAAACTCCTATTTCCACTGACGGCTGCAGCACAAGTCTGTCAGTCTCATTCCCATGGTAGCTCATCAAATCCTCTGAAGTCTAGAACAGCTATGTAGAGTAATCTGTCCCACAGTAGATCCCAGTAGCGCTGCAGTTCTCATCTGAGTTCCTGATCTTAACTGCTACTGTAAGCATGTGCATGAGCGCGCTGTGTAGAGGTGTGTTCTTCTAAAGTCTTGTTGCCTGTTGATACTTGACAAAAGGTGGGGCAAAACCACAAGGACATAGGGAGGGCTGTTGAGGAAAGGGAGGGCCCAGATGTGGGAGAAAAAAAGGGAGGCGTGGATTATAAGGAAGTAGTAGTTGAATTTTATACTGTATCAAGGAAAACAGTGCGGTTTCCTGCTGTCACCAGCTCATAACTTTATGCCATCATTAACAATCAGGCAATTCTTATGACTTTATGGTCTTGTTCATAGAGTGAACATTGTTACCTAAAAAGGGAAGTTGATAACAATGCAGCTTTAAATTCCATGGGAAACGCTCGGCCAGGCTCAGGATATGCAATTCATTTTTCTACAATAGGTTTGTTGGAGGTTATATTTACATTAAATATTTTAGTGATGACTTCATGTCTGCTTACTTGATTTAGTCATTGTGGATAGTAGTTTTAGTATTAAACATAGGTGCCATCTATGGTCCAAATACACATTGACATTGTAAACACACAACTAGACACAGGTATCATTCCCAAATTGATTGAGCTTTCACCAGAGTATCACTAGATAACAAACAATAGGATTTAGTTCTTAATTTATTGTGTTCTTTGTAGGGTGTTATGAGTAGGGCAGCCTCTAGGAGGGGGGGGGGGCTTTATTTTTGTAAATACAGTGGGCACCAGTGTTTTTTAAGTGCACCTAAACACCAAAATACACTGGAAATAGTGCTTTCCGTAAATACAAAGCTTTTCAGTCTCTTTTAACAATGTGTAAGAGTTGCATGTCTTTTAAGAGTTTTACTTCAAAATTAAAGTGTCTCGTAAAAAGCAGAACTTGCTATGATTCTCAGGTCCACTAGAAAAAAGGCCAGATTGTCAAGAGGAATAAAAATATATTTATTCAGAATAAACATATATCACAACATGCATGCATCTGAACTTCATAAATATAAAAATATGGCATGTTTTTCATATATTGGGGTCACCAAGAGATAAATTAAGGCAGTGGCAGCAATGCTTTAACCATCTTGGTCCAGTGATGATTCAATATCAATCAGTTTGACAAGACTAGAAGTGAAAATGTAACTTGGAAGCTTGATGCTTATCATCTACAGTTGGCTGTACTTGAGATCCAGATAATTTTTCATGCCAAGTTTCTTTTTCAGTTAATACTGTTGACTCAAGGGTCAATTTCAGTTGGGAGAATTGTCAGATGACTGCGCATCAGCATAATTCATTTTAGGAAGTTACGGGTCAGATACGGCAGTAAAAGGCAATGGAGTTCAAAACTGTGTTTGTTGATGTCAGCAGGAAGAAGGTCTCACACATAAAAGTCATGTAACCTGAACTGGTAGCACAACTTTTTGGTCCAATCTAATCTTGCTGTATGGATTTGCATGCACACTATGTAACACAGTGCAAGATTATTTAAAACCAGTATAGCATGTAGTTCACATTTTGGTACCGTAAGCCCAAATGAGTATTTTGAAGCTGGTATTAAAACCTTAAATAAGAAATACACTAATACAGAAAATAAAATTGTAAGAGACAAACATTTTAAAGAGGTACATGTATCAATGATATGTCTAAGTGTCACAACACAGGTAAAAAGTTGCAAACAACCGTATGAAGTCATGTTCCTTAGGAGTGTTTTTATCCGTTGGATTGGATTGATCTGCAGGATGACTGCCCCAAGAAGAAACCCGATTGCACAGACCCTGAATCCTACCCTAACTATTTGCCACTGTTGCTTCCTGCAAACCGGTCTGCTTATTCTGAACTAGTCATTAGTTTTCTATCTTACTGCGAAATACTGCAAAACACACTATCCATCTCTTCACAATTTTGCCCAAGGATCATGAGTTTAAAGTTGCAAGACATTGCACATGCTATATATATTAAGAGACTGATGTCTACCCATTCCACCCATGTCTCACCCTATTCTGTTTTCTTTTTCATTTAACGTCAGTTTTCTGTACAGGTATTCCACAATGTCTTTTTTATACAATTGTCCCATGTTTATTCTAGCTTTTGCTTACTGCAGCCAAAGTAAAGCCCCATGCAGTTAACCACAAGACATCCCTTTACCTTTATACAATCAGTGAAGGCAGAATATATTTAGAATATGAATTTACAACACATTGTACCAAGTGTAACAGTTCAATAAAGTTTGGTTGTGCATCATCAGTTAAGGGCAGACCTGCTTTCTTCTGGGCCTTGCATTTACCTGCATGAGTGACACACAAACCCAATAACTACGTGTGTTTTAGTCTCAGGACAATGAGGGGAACTTCAGCTCGCTGATGTCTGCTTCAGGAGAGCTGCTGCCGCTGCTGCTGCTGTAAGTGTCCCTGCAATGGTAGATGAATACATAAAATGAGTATTAAAGCAGGAATGCCTGACAGGGATTGCTTCATTGTGATTGCAGGTGCAATGATGAACAGTGTCATTGTAAACTATACCTGTACTACCCATGGGCCTTTTGATATAATTACACTGCAGAATAGAAAGATGTACTCACATGTCTCAATCAAAGCTAAGGTAGATCTTAGATTTTAACCATGTTATGTCAGTTAACGGATTAAATATTAAAAAACATATCCCATGTGTTTAAATGTGATTTAATGCCACTACTAAACAAACCACTTTTAAATTGAATTCAGACAATACTTTAGTCTGTGTAGAGGAGGGGGGAAAAAAGATATAAATAAAATAAAATATGAAGCACTGGATTAACAATTGATATAATTTACCATTTAATTTATTGCAAAATTGTCAAAAAACTTGTCAGAGAACTAACAATAGTTAGAGCTAAACCTATAAATTGTGAGCATCATACAGTAATTTAGAGGTTTCATGTGAATAATACAACACAACACTGTCGGAGCTAACCGTGGAGAAAGGCGACAACCCTTGCCCAGGTAGCTTTGGAGTTTTCCTGCAGCGGCCAGCAGGAGACCAAAGTATGGAGGAGAAGGTTTGATGGGCCTTGAGGTAAACTCGGGATGGTACTGGACTCCAACAAAGTAACAATGATCTGAAACAACAAAGACGGATTCTAGCATGTGACATACATTACATGTATAGAAACAAGGGAGAATTTGAGGCAAAGCTGTTTCAGAAACAGTAGAGATGACAAAAGTACATCCCAAAGAGCAGCTAGGTTATACACAGAATGTTGTATTCCACTCACTCTCCAATTCAATGACCTCCATTCTTTCTCCTTCCACATCCTGGCCGACAAACTGAAGACCCTTTTTTTCAAAGTGGTGTTTCAGCTCAGGGTTAACCTAAGATGAGCAAAGGCTAAATTATTCAGGAAAGGTTTTTAAAAAATGTTTTTTTTCATTTTTATTATAATACCACAAAACCAGATCTGGACACAAAAAATTAAAAACGTCTTGCAGCGTGTACAGACCGAATAAGAAGCTTTGCACTCCTAAACAAAAAGATTTAAAACCTTGTTTTTGGTCTCTACCTCAAATCTGTGTCTGTGCCTCTCGTCAACATAGTCCACATCTCCGTACAGTTTTCCTAGAACAATGAAATATCAGTCATCAGAAACACAATGGAGCTGGACATGATCAAAAAGCCAACAGTCTACATTTAATTCAAGGAGGATACATACTCAGTACACTGGCGGAGGATTTGAAAATGGTCCGCCTCTTCCCTAACCTCATAGTGCCACCCATCTGCCCTGGGTTGTGCTCTGGCATGTCAATCACCTGTCAAGATCGAACAACATGCTAAAACCATTCCAGTCAAGACTGCTGATATGATGTGATGTAAGCATGGCAGAAAAAGATAACCTACCACAGGGTATTGGGATTCTGGATTAAATTCTGTGGAGTTGGCGTCTGAAAAAGATGCAAGCAAAACTGATAAAAGCTCAGATCAACTTCCCAACACATCTATGGTTCTTTCATCATTAAATTAGAACCCAACGGGATAGAATTTTACTTAGCAGAGTCCCAAGTTGAACTTAGCAATTACTCACCTTCCCATCCGAGAACATTGCGGGCAAACTCGCACACTGCCAGCTGCATGCCTAAACAAACCCCTGCACAAAACAAGACCAGCAAGATTCTTGAATAATGAGAGCTATTGTAAGGATTCATAAATAAACAAAGACTAAACACGACCCCACTGTGCAAACCACTTACATGACTAACACTACTGTATTTGCATATGATTATACAGTGCCTATAAAAAAGTATTCACGTCTCTTTGGACTGTTTCATCTTTCATCCTTTTTATTTATTTATTTTTTTACAACTTTGAATGTTTTAAGTGGATGCAATTACGTTTTTTTTCTGATTAAAACAAGATTCTTTAATGTCAAGTGAGAACAAATTTCTACAAATGGATCTAAATTATATACACATATAATACACAAATTAACTGACTGCAGAGGTATTCATGCCCTTCAGGCCTATAGTCACCTTTGGCAGCAATTTCAGCATTAAATTTATACATAGTGGGTACAGTGGGTCTGTAACAACCTCAACACATTTTCTTTCTGAGCTATCTTTGCATAATTGCTCAGACTATGTAAAGTTGCATCGAGATTAGATGGAGTTACTGAGCAGCAATGTCCTGCAACACTTTCTCATTTGGTTTTGGAGATCTAGGCTCTGACGGGGCTTTCACATTCAACCCATTAATGAAGTTTGACTATGTTTAGTATGTTAACGAAAAGCCCCACAACATTTTTCCCACCCCATTTGAGGATATGCCAAATCTACTGACAAAGTAGATTTTATTTTTAAAAGATTTACTCCTGAAGTTGTTCTGAATCCAATCCAACATTGACATATTTTTGAGATGAATTTCTTTTTCAATTTTTCAACAACTAAAAAAAAAAACTATAGTTGGAAAAACTTGCACTGTAGCCTCATACTACCGATTTGAAAAATCAACAATTATCGTGGCAGTTTTTCCTTCAAGATTTCTCGGAATTATGCCCTTCACAAACCTTCCGGCGGTTGTTGAACAGAAACAACCCCATAGCATGATGCTGCCATACAGATGATGGGCAATAGCCTTAATATGCACTTTCTTTCTTTCTTTCTTTCTGGGCTGCACCAGTGATGATACAAGTGCGCCTACATCCCCTGTGATTTAGTTTTGTAAACAATAAAACATTGTCCCAACAAGTCCAAAGTAGCAAATAACTTCTTAGAGACAATGTAGTTGTTTTAACCACAGTAGTGCAAGTATGAAGCTGCATACCAAGAAATAATTCTTGGTATGCAGATATACCCTTAGTATTTCTTATCTTAACATTAAACACATAGGAGGGAACATTTTTGTGTCTAGACACCAACAGGTTTGCTCATAGCATGAAATCTTACAACTTGATACGATGAAGAAGGCAGAACTTATGAGACAAAGTAGTCTCGTATCTCTCTTACCCAGGAATGGCTTATTCTGTTTCCTAGCCCAGTTAATAGCCAGCATCTTGCCTTCTGTCCCTCTCACACCAAAACCTCCTGGTACCAACACACCACTGTGGGCAGGAAGAAAGGAATGACAGCCTCAGTTGATCTTATAAGTTAGTCCAAAATTTTTTTGAGACATTACACAAATGCCTGTATAGAGAGACACATTACTGACAATGTGAGTTAAAAACAGAAACAACAGCTTGCTGATCTAAGTATTCCAACCCTCTGTCACTGCATATTTAGAAGCAGCGTAGGGGCAAAATGCTGGACAGCCATTAGTATGTGGAAATGATTACTCGTAATCTTATTAGGATACACAGCCCTTCCCCACAGACTTTTAAAGCTAATCCATCAAAAAAAAAAAAAGCACCATGCTGAATGCCAGCTTGAATATAACCAAAAAGATTTAACTGGTACATACATACATTGCAGATGTAATCTATGAATGAAGATGTAATAAAACATTATGAATTTCTACAAAGAACATAATTTCTATGAAGCGGCATAAACCGATGGACGTGACAGCACTCTGCTGCCATCATGTGGTATAGTGAGTGTAAAACTGAATATTGATGCAAGTTTTCAACATCATCCAAGCCTACTGGCATATGGGTCTTACCGAGTTTGTCTACTTACTGAGAACTGCAGAGTTTTTGCCAGGCCTCATGGTATTTCACTGGCTCCTCTTCCAGAGTGGTAGGTTCCAGGTCTGCAGAGTCTATGTACTTTAGGAATAACAAATAGCATCATTTGGAATAAGATCAATCAAAAATCAGGGCCAACAGGCTAAATACAGTATAAATATGGGTCATTATTATCATTTTGCAAGTTTTAAAGGTGTTCCATAACAGCAGTCAACACATAAACAGTGATGTTAAATTTAGAAATCAATACTGTATACAAAATATAAAAGTTTGAAATATTTCCATACCTTAACCTCTAGTTTGTGATTAACGGCAAGGGCTGAATGCTCTAGGGCCTTGATAACAGAGGTGTAGGAGTCAGCTAATTTTGTGTATTTCCCCACAAGGGCTATGGAAACATGCTCCAAGAGACGGTCAGATCTGAATAAAGAGGGAGATTATTCACAGTGCTGACCTGGTGCATCATTTAATTATAACTTCACAGCTTCTCACAGAATAATTCAACATTCAGCCATTCAACCTTCACAGTGTGCTGTAGCGACTCAATACTTGATTTTTTAGAATTAAACACTCTTTTCTTTTGTTAGTGTCAACTTGCTTGAGTGATTATAGTGACTGTTCCATAACTGTAAGGTAAATGGTTTGTATCCCTTTCCTTACTAACCTTGCCAGGGAGCTGGACTAAGAAGGAGGGCTGACCAATAAATTGCATTTTCAATGTCAATGTGATATGAACATGTGCAATGAACACATAACAAAAGAGTGAGTGAGTAAAAAACTAAAAACATACTTAACAATACACTGTTCAACCAGCATAAACATGTAAACGTGTAGAAGCCATATATGCACTGTGCACAGTCTCTCATCCACCTCGGCTGTTTTACAAAAGAACAGCACGCTAGTACAGCTACAAACTAACAAGCTAAAACAAAAACTATATTTAGTCTGATTAGGTTGGTTTGTCACATTCTTAAATACTAAATTAACCAAATACTTGTGTAAGGCACTGAATCACATCAGAGGTGGACAGCCAAAGACAGACAGGAAAGGGAGGCAGAGGGAGGGGGGATGACGCGCAGCAAAGGGCCGCCGCAACTCCGGTAACATGGGTCGCCAGCTCTACCAACTGAGCTAACCGCGCCCTAAACTTCCGTATTTTTAAAACCCTCAAACCCTTTTCCAAACACAATCCAACAACGACTTCCCACGGTCAAGTTATTCCCTTACAAACCTCGAGCAAAGTTGGAAAAGTTAGTATCTTCTTTACCTGTCAGCCATCTCCTTCCACTTTGAGAGCATCTTCCTGGGCTTCATTTCGACATGCAGGTTCAGCCGCTGACAGAAGTAGCTCACAACACCCTGGTTCTCCAGCAGAAGGGGTACTTTGTAGACTGAGGAGACATCTTGAACACAGATCACCTGGAAAAATTTACGAAACATGTTCTTTCAGCTTTGTTTTTTTATTTATAAAAAGCTAACATTGTTGACATTTTTACACTGAGATTAATTTACAACATAATTGTCCCCAGAAATGATACATCCCAGCACACTGAAATGGATGACAACATGAATTGTATTTTTGTTGTAGAAAAAAAAAAAAAGGTATAGTCACACACACTTCACCTGTGTGGGCTCAACATGACAGAACATGGAGATCTTCTCCTTGACAGCCGTTTCTAGTGGCATCGAACAGCGGCACATAATCTGACAAAAAACAATGTTTATGTTTTTATCACAATATACAACAGGACCAGGACAAAGCCTCAAAGATTCCCCCATAAACTCATATCTTAAATTTGACGTCAGATTTTATTTTGTTGTGTACACTATGACATGAATACATAACCAAGAATCATTGTGTATAGATTTATACACATAGAGGGAAAGTTGAGGCATGGCTGGTTTGTAACTCCGGTACAGGAGGGTATGCCAAATTTAAAAACAAATTATAATCTGACTCACCAAATCTGGCGACAAGCCCAGCCCTCTGAGCTCTCGGACACTGTTCTGGGTCGGTTTGGTTTTTTGCTCTCCTGTCGTATTGGGCTGAGGACACAAAAGCAAATTCACCTAAATTGTAACATACGTGTGTGAAAAATAAAACAGTGGTGATGTTTACTGTTGTGTGGTGAAGCTGTAGATTGCAACCAACTAAAACTCACCTCAACCAAGATTGTAATGTGAAAGTGTTAACATGTTTTGTAAGCATGAAACAAATAATATGATGTGTTCACCAGTGTGCCATACCTGTGGTACCAGGCTGACATGGATGTTACAGAAGTTCTCCCTCTTCACCTTGAACTGGAACTGTCTGAAGGCCTCAATGAAGGGCATGCTCTCAATGTCCCCTACTGTGCCTCCCAGCTGTTGACAGAAAACACCAGCTTAGACCACATGAATGCGTGCATAAAGACACTCGGTTTTGTCAGCACTTCACATAACCCTGACACAGCCTTAGAAGACAGTCCATAGTACTGTCAGAACTGGTTTTGATGTACTCCCTGAAAAGAGAACAGCTGGAGGCAATGCAGGTTTATTCGCATAGCACCTTTCAATAACAAGCCAATTAAAAAGTGCTTTATATAATACAGAAGGTATTAGTGAAAGTATATAAAACAAAAGGTCATATAAAAAGACACGCATAAATAGGATTTTAAGACACAGCACAAAAGCACTGTCTAAAGCTTAACTTAATAAAATACAATGGACAACTGAGAATTGGGGCAGTTTGTTCTAGATATGGTGTTTAAAACTGGCTGCTACTTCTCCCTGAAGTCCTCGAGGACCTGAGAGGTGTAGATGCTTTATAACAGAGCAGCAGATCAGAACTGTATTTTGGCCCTAAACCTTCAGTGTTTTATAAACCGGTATAAAACAGTTGTATTTTTAAATCAATTCTTTGACAAACAGGAAGTCTGTGTAAAGTTATGTGATCTAGCAGCAGAATTCTGAATCAGCTGCAGCTGTCTGGTTGTTTTTTGCAGTACAGGCAGTGTTGGTCGAGCATAATTAAGATAAATTAATAGACATGTTTTTCTAAATCCTGCTAAGACATGTCTTGTAATTCCTGATATATTCTTAAGGCAATAGGATGCTGATTTTGTAGTTGTCTTAATGTGGATGTTAAAATATAGGTCTATAGCATACTTATACAGACACTCAAATCAATTTTTAAATCCCTTGACTTTTTTAAGTTTTTCGAAATAATGTTTTTGCTCACAGATCCATATGTGTAAGTTCAGCAGTTTCTCCCACTTCTTGGTGAGTGGTGCCAATATTTTATATTGCTTCAGGCAACATTCCTGGTTTCATTTCTGATCGATAACCTCCTCTATTTCTCTTCAACGCACTAATTAAATGTGCAGGTTAAAAAAACAAGTGTAAATATACTACACTGAGAATGGAGACAAGTACTTAATACCAAATTACCTCTATGACACAAACTTGAGGCTCCACATCGTCCTCATCTACTGGGATCTTGGCCTGCTTCATTACCCACTCCTGGATTGCATCTGTGATGTGGGGTACCACTGAAAACAGATTTATAGCATAAGAGTCATAAAAAACCCAATCAACATAGCTCTTGTAAAACTCTCTGTTTTACAGACACCCTGGGTACACTCACCCTGTACAGTCTTGCCCAGGTAATCTCCCCTCCTCTCCTTGTTGATGACCGACTGGTAGATCTTTCCAGTGGTGAGGTTGTTGTCTCTGGTCAGACGGATGTCAAGGAAACGCTCATAGTTCCCCAAGTCCAGATCCACCTCCCCACCGTCATCAAGAACAAAAACTTCACCTGTAAAACAGACATTATATCCGTCAATGAGTGAGTGAAAGAGCAGATCCAAAACAGGCAGAAATTCAGTGCTTTGCTCACTCACACAACACACAACTATTGTATGGATGCCCCACAGCAGCCAGCAAGGGGTGGTTTGTCCACCCCAATAGGCCAAATGCTGTAACATCTCGTCAAATATTAAATAACAACTGCAAGACTGAACCACTCACCATGTTCATACGGGGAAAAGGTGCCAGCATCAATATTGATATACGGATCGATTTTGATGGCTGTGACGTGAAGGCCGCAGGACTTAAGGATTGTTCCCACGCTGCTGGCAATGATACCCTTCCCAATACCAGATATGACACCACCAGTAACCAGGATGTACTTCATAGTGGCATGTGAACACTAAAAAACACACACACACACAAAACAAGTACACACGTATTCAATAAATAACTAAAAATACATTGCAATTATCGTCCAACTCAACCAGTTCAACCACATGTGTCATGAAGAGAGCTCATGCAATGCATAATGAGTACAATATGAGCTGTGGGCTATTACTAGAGTGGAGTACTAAACAGCCCTGCAACTTCATTTATATGATATGTATTAGTATTGTATGTAACGTTTCTCACAGGAATAACATTGGAACTAGTGGTCTGTTTTACTCAAGGTATTCCAGTGTTTACACAAACCAAACATAGTCAATCTGGAGGTAGTAATAGTTTATTACTATGTTTAGAGACTTGAAGGTTGGCCCTAACCATTTGTTTACATCTGTATCGCATATTGTGCTTTCCATCCGCACAACGCATGGTGACATTGAACGACTGAATCCGAACAAACAAGAGGGCACCCACCCTAAACTGAGGGTGTGTTTGAAGTGCGGAAATCTTGCAGATACTGCAGATTTATACTCACTCACACAACCGGAAATGAGTGGCGGGAAAGTCCTGCAACACAATAAGCCCGCAAAACACAGAGCAAGAGACTCCAGAGAGCTTTGTGTGTTACTTCAGGCCAGTAATCTTATTATGATGCCAACCTTCATTGTCAGTAATGGAGTCCTGAATGCATTATAGTAAATAGGAACGGCTGTGTTTGGCCTAGCTCACTTTACACAAACTGCTTTGACCCAGCCGGTTTTGCCGGCGGAATATTAACTTTTTTTTTTTTTTTTTTTACCTGGTTTCTTTTTAAATGAAAATGTAAATCGACACTGAGGTAAAGTTAATATGTGACTTGCACGGCTACATCAGCAGCTAACTAACAAGCTAACGTTAGCCAACGTAGAGGTAACATTAGCAAACTGTCACCAATTTCTACACAACAACAACTAACAAACTAACTTGAGAGCATTTTAGGTCGAGTCTCCAGCACACCGTGGCATTTTCTAAAACGCACAAAAGCACTTACCTAACGACTAAAGACACGGTGTCGGTGGGTCTAGCCTCAGAAACTGTCTTGAATTTGAACTAACCCTACGGTTATTTACGAAGCACCTGGCTCCCCGTTCTCACTGCTGCACAAACACGTGTAGGTGAAGCTGACTGATCCACTTTCTCCGGAGAGCTCAGCTTGTCTCTTTCCGTTTGCCGCCTGGGTAACCGCGTGCCCTCTGCGCTGCCTGTCAGGCAGGTCGTAGTCCACCGCCCCCCCAGGATCCACCAATCGGGTGGATGAACTGCAGGGTTCGCTTCGTGTGAAAAGTCTCATTGAGAAGCTGAACTTCTGGGCGACAATTATTTCCCTCCCCCCACCACTAAAAAATCCTTGTGTTTTCACCATATGACGTCACATGCATTGGCGTGAATGACGTATTTCAAGGTCAGTGCTCAAGTTATCGTAATGACGATGGACATTCATTCAAATGGATCGGCCTCATTTAAACATAACATTGGACAACATTGCCCTGTCCTTGTATACTGGAGGTTGAACATCTTTGCTATTACTGTTTTTGGACATTATGTTAAATATCAACATATTTAAGTGCACTGATGGTGTGACCCACACAAAGACCATCATCACTCGGGCTAACCAGAAGCCATGGCTGACAGGGGAAAATTGTAAAAATTAAAAAAAAATTCTATTTGAAAAACAATTTCTGTTGTGAAATTGAATGTTTACTTTTAGTATTAGGAAATG